TTGGGGGGGGCGGGGGGCCTTCCCAAGCTCTCCCGGGCCACCTTGGGCCACTTCTGGGGCATGAGTGGAAGGTGGGGGCGGGGGTGGGTGCAGAGGCCAGGCTGGGCCCGAGAGAGCCCAGACGGGCCTGCTGAGAGCCAACCGGCTCCTTTGGGGGGCCCGGCCCTGCCTGCCAGGCCCCCTACCAGCTCTGCCCAGTCCTCGCTGTGGCTCAGCGGCCTCTCTTGCCCCGATTAGGTCCAACTGACGCAAACTCGGACAAAGGACGACTTGCCGTTCATCCCACTCTGGAGCCTGAGGGTGGAGGCCAGGGAGGGCAGGGCACGGCGGGCAAGGGCACGGCTGTGGCGACAAAGCCTGGTGGGGCTCTCCTTGCTGGAACAATGCCCAGCCACTGGCATCTGGTAGAACAGCTCCTTACAACACTCTGTGAGGGGCTGGGAGTGAAAGGGCGAGGGCACCTGCAGAGAAGGCAGCCTCATCCGTCCGGAGGGATGAGGGGCAGTCCCCTGGAAGATGTAACTACATTTTATTGATAAAAGTACTCCGAAGGCCTGGCGCCTAGTAGGTCCTCAGTCACTGTGAGGTGCATGTTCCCCTTTTTACAGAGAGAGTTTCCTGGTCCCATAGGATGGTCCCCTACCCACTGGGAAAATTAAAATACGCCATCACCTGGCTGAAGTCCAGGGGGAACTGGAGGTGCCAAGAGCTCTGGGTGCTGGGAAGCAGAGATGTGCATTAGGGTGTCACCCCAGTTCTCCCCCTGGGTCTTCCTACGCTCCAGCCAACCTGCCCCCAGAGGTCCTGGGGAAGAAAGTCGCCCTCATCGCTGGCTCACACAGTCTCCCCCCACACACACACCCCCCACCTCCCGCCACACACATGCACACACTGGCATCCCTGGTTTCAGTTTGGGGTCCCCAGGAGTGAAGGCTGTCCCTCTACTTCTCCAGAAGATTCAGCTGAGTCCCCTTGAGCCTCTGTACCCACCCACCTGTGCCTGGAAGGGCCTGAGGCACGGCGGGGGGGGGGGGACAGGCCTGGCAGGAGCAGCCTTCCCCAGGTGAAGGCAAGCGGACGGCTCCGTCACCATCACCGTCACCCTGGCGCGTGCTCCCGGCCAGTGGTGCGGGTGAAGGTGCTGGGGCTGCAGCCAGCTACCGCATTGATAATTGAATGTATTAATGGTCCTAATTAGCAACTGCCAGCCAGAAGCCCTCTGCTAATGCCAGCAATCATCGGGGCTTGTGGGGCGTGGCCCGGAAGGGGGGGTGCAGGTGGAGGGCTTGTAGACAGTGTACAGTGCAGGGCCCGGCCATGCCAGAGGCCAGCGTGAATGGCTGGAAATGGGAAGAAGGGGGACCCTACCCCCTCACCGGTTCCCACCCAGGCTGCCTTGCCCCCCCCCCCCCCCAGGGGCACAGCCACCTCAGATGGTGTTGGGACAGAATGAAATGTGAGGCTGGCAGGGAGGGGAGACCTCTGTCTGGGCTGCAGAGCCGGAACTCAGACAGCAGCCCGTGGGAGGAAGGCAAGCCTGTAACCGCCCCAGCACAATGAGCTAGAAGGGGATTGGGAACAAGCCCCCCAGTGTCCGGAGCCCATTCCTTGCCCTGAGGAGACGGAGATGGATGGGGCTGGGCTGGAAGGAGGGGACACTGGAGTGTGTGTATTGGGGGTGGGGTGGGGGGGCAGTTTCTCCAGCTGAGGATCCTCCTGCCAGGAAGAGCAGGGAAGGAAGCCCAAGTTTCAGAATCCAGACCATTCCCCGGGCACAACAAAGCCACTTCCTCTCTCGGCCCCTGAGCAGACCCAGAGGGCCCTG